TGCTGAATCCAGGAGCACTCAACCAAGTCAGCCCATCCAGAAGACTCCATGGTTGATGGTACTGTTGGGTAAACTGCACCACATGGTTCTTCTCCTGAGAGGACTTACGCCAATTCAGTCAGTGCAAGAGGGAAGCGGAGGTACAACGCAGGCACAAACAGACTTTTATTAATAGGCTTCAGCTGAAGGGTGAAACCACTGTGGTTCAGGAAGACATGTGCCCATGTTTCCTTACATGGCCAATGAGTAGCCTAGCTCAGCCTGTCTGGTCATTTTACGTGGTGCTTCTTACATGGCTTCAGTCTGCATCATATAATGATTGTCAGACTACCCTTTATCTGAGACTAATGATTGTTAGACTGCACTGCATTCCAATCTACTGCTAATGATTGGCAGAATGCATTTTATTTAACAGTATCAAAAGATGCTAAGAGAATAAACAGGGTCACATTCCCCCTGCCCCTTCCCTAGCAAAATTCATCCGGCAGAGTGACCAAGGAAGTTTCTTTTCTGAACCCAGAGAACCCATTTCATTCAAGAGTGCTGGGAGTTGACTGGCAACCACCTACTCAAGCAAATTGCCCAGAAAGGAATATTTATGTAATTGGTGTTCAATGATAACACCAAACCGGTTATTTTGCAAAATCTACTAAAAATAACCTCACTGATTATATTATACATTTGAATACAAAATTCCATGGATCCATTCCCTTATTTTAATTTCAAACTTCACTGAAGTTTACCTTGATGAACATGTTTTCTTAATATATGCATAATCAGTCAAAGTAACTTCTACACTGTGTGTATCCAAAGTGTTTAGAAATCTGAGTGTTCCACCACTACAGTTGCAGTTGCTGTCTATATTTTGTGCATCTGTAGGAAGTGCCTCTACCCTGCCTGCCTTTTGCTGTAAAGACTGACTTCCCTTGGTGTGCTTTCATGCTCAGGAGAGGCAAGAATCATGCAACTCCACCACTGTCATTCTCATTTGCAAGAGAGCAATGGACAAGCTGCTGCTTGAATGTAGCCAGCACATCCAGCTTCTGTGTGTGCGTGCGTGTGTGCGTGTGTGTATGATTGCACTCTAAGATTTCTCTGCTGAGATTTTTCCTCCTAGCCCATCTGTAGTTCTTCAATATGCATGTCCTGTAATAGCCTTGTCCTTAATGTATAAGCCTACAATAAAGACCAAAAGTTCTAGACGTCCAATTAAATTGTTACATTCTAAGTTAAATATACTTAACTAAGTATAATATTTTTTCATGGATGCTAGCTCCAAGTAACCGACTGTGAGTTCCTTTCCGAGCTCCAGTAGAAGAACAAATAGTTCCCAGTTCTGAGGGACAGAACACATCGTTCTCATTTCCTAGCAAACACACAATTTCTAGACCTATTCAAAACATGCAGTTCTTCGCTCCAAGCAATCCGTTGCAGAACTCTGAGTTCGACCAATTGATTGCACAACTACTGACCCTGGTTGAAGAGTGGTTGTAAGATTGCAGATCAAGAGCCCAGTTTGCCCAATAAAGTCTGAGGTAGAAGCAATTGCCACTGCTGATTCATCTCATAATTCAGACACAGATTAAGTTCAGCTTTGTCTATTTGTCCAAATATTTTAGAGGATGAGCTAGTCAGGTACTAACTTGAGATGTGAGTGTATGACTCACCCACCCATCCTTCCAAATCAAAGCTCCTTTTTAAAACTTGCTCTTTTCATGTAAATGTTTGCTTCCATGCTCCACTATGCCGGTACCCCTCAAAGTATAACTACATTGCTCCCTGTGATCCTTTTTACTACCTTATATGTTTCCATGGTTGTCACTGCAGAAATCAGCACTCATGGACCTGCTTTCCAGAGGATGCTCTTAGAATCAGCACTCAGAGCGCCTGGTTCTAAGAGGATGCTCCAGAAATGCAGGCCTACTCCCACATTTTGAGAGAGAGAAAGCGAGAGAGAGAATAGAGTGGGAATGTTTACAAACATTTTTGGCTGCCGATCATTCCCTGCAACTTAGATCCAGTGTTCCCAAAAGGTCAATAATGTTACGCACCCCTGCTCAGTCTAATTTCTGCTCAGGACCAGGTACTTATAAGCGAATACTTAATCTTCTCAATACAAATCCCATTCTGTCTATTCTTTCCTCAATTAGCAGTTCAGATCTTTAGTCAAAATGGCACCTAACACAGAGATTCAGGGTAACTGAATGTTTTGCCACCCTAATTTTTTAAAGACACTAATAGGAGAGGAACACTTCAAAACAGAACCATAAGGATTCACTAGCATGGAAGGTTAACAGATAGGGAAGGAAAAAAACTGCCAAATGGTTGAATAGCAATAACATGTAATGGCTGGAAAAACCGAAAGGATGAACACACACACATGAAATGATATGTCACATTGTCTGGAGAGGCCACTTCCAGCTTCATACTGAGCAGCCCTGAATGGGATCGGAATGTTCCAGCCAAAGTGTTGTAGGGAGCATGAAACTCCTCATTGCTGCAACTTCACTGGCTGCAGGTCTGTTGCTGGGATCCAATCAGAATGTGGGTATAAGTCCCCTATAGTGTGGATCCAGTACACCTGAGGGTCAACCTTCCCCCATATGGTCTGCCTGGGTTTTAAGACCTTTGGGAGAATACTTCTCTCAGTTCCATTGCAAGCAGAGACATCTTTGTTGAGGATTCCAGAGAGGGCCTTCTTGGTAGCTGCTTTCAGACTCTGGAATTTCCTGCTCAGAGAAGCTAGATGGGTTCCCTCTCTGTTCCTTTGCCAGGAGACAAAAGTGTTTTTATTCAGGCAGGCCTTTGGTACATAAGATTATTTGTTGCTAAAGGAAATTTTTGTTGGTGGGTGGTGTTTCTTTCTATTATTATTGTGCTCTCAATTTACTTTTAAGTTATGTCTTACTGTGATTTTGTTTTGAATTTGTATTTTATTTTCGGCCACCTTGCACACCATTTTTGGCTAGAGAGCTGTGCCAAATAAATATATTATTCCTAACATATAAAATAAATTTAGTAGCATATAAAATAAGTATGCTATTTTGAAGTGTTCTCAGAAACACAAGTGTGAACTTCTTACAGGCAATAATGTTGGAAAAATCATAGAATGTCACACAGCTGCAATTAGAGGCAAACACAGACACAAAACCCTAACAGGAAGAACATTCCTTCCCAGAAAACGCATCCCATTGAGGACAGATGATGCACAGATGGCATGAAACAGTTGGAAAGGACTGAAAGCTGGAACTGAGCAGCTGGAACCCTGAAGAGAAGCACTCCACAGCACGTTTTGTTGCCAGATCTTACCTGTTGTTATCAATCAGAGATTCCAGTACTAGACTGAATCCAAATTTGATTCATATCAGATTTTCATATTGAATAGTATGCAGAGTTATCTGTGTCCTCTTCGGTGTATTGGGAGTGAGTAAAACGTAGATCTCAAGATAGAGCTCATTGACCATTCCTGTTCAATGGCCAGGCTGGCCAGACCTTCTGAAAGCTGCCATCCAAATCATCTGGAGAGCTCCCCTTTGCCCACTCATGTTATACGTGATCTTCAGCATGTGCTCTGGTGATCATTGAATTACGACTACCTGAATGCAAGGTCCAGTAGTAGAAATGAGTTGGCATACAAAAGACCTTCTGCCAGTAAGGTATTCTTTAGAAGGAGTGTACCAAGTCTTCAGTAAGCAGAAGGCATTTTCTTGTGAGGCAGTCCAGATACTTGGGTCTTCCAGGCTTGTTCTGTCTGGCCTCTCCTTGTTCCCATGGATAAGTTGTGATTTTCTTATAACTGTCAGAGTTGCTGCTGTCACAGGTGGCAAAGCAAAAATCACCCACCGCCACTTTTTTAAACGTACATTTTCCTGAGTTTAACATAAGTTCTCATTCTTTCCTGAAAGAAGTCAGGTCATAACTTTTAGAAGCCTGAGATTTGTATCCATCTCTGTTTAAAAACCTTAAGTAGCACAAACCAGAATTCCAGGTGGGGCAGTGCTCTGTTTCTGATCTGGGCCCAATTGTCTAAATGGGCTGGAAAGGTACGATTTTATAATATGTGCTGATTCCAAATAAATGGGCCTGTAAGAAGTGTAACCAGAAGATTTTATGTTATAAAAGGATAAGTCACTACAGTACAGTATTGTGGTGAAATGCAGGAGAACTATTCCTCTCTTTCCAAATTCAAATATTCTAGGATTTCACAGAAAATGTGAAGAATCAATGTGGCATATTTCAGTTTTCTCATATATGTAGAAGCTGGTAGTTTTGTATATTAGCATATGTTATAAACAGCATGTGTCCTTGCTTTGCAGTGATATATGCATGGCATTCTGATACAGCTTTGAGGGCAAAAATGTGGATAACATATAATTTATAGTACATGGTGATTCAAAATAAGTTACTTAAGAAGCGAAGCCTAATGTTTTGCATAATAAAATAATGAAACAAGAAGTACATTATTAGCTTCATTATTATTACATTATTACATTATTAATTAATTAAGTACATTATTAGCTTTCAGGACTACAGAAAACCAACATCTTACAAACTTGGCAGATAATTCATACAACTTTATTAGAGTTTATTTATTATTATTAATAATAATCTACAATGGATAAAAATGAAAATACCATTTATCACAGGTTATCTGTGATATGTTCTCTTGCTACTCTGACCAAGTGTAAGGATTCCCAAAATGCCTTTCCCTCCTAATATTTTCAATATTTCTACTCACAAAATAAATTATTTTGTTACATGTGAATTCTACCCTTTAAGGGCACCAGATGTCAGCCTGCTTTCTGTTTCCATCACACCCATCCTGTGAATTAGGTTAACTTGAAGGTTATTCACTTGAACTCCTTAACCAAGCAGGATCACCACTGATCAGGTCTTTTTACATCCAGGCTTTCGCGCTGTACCACACTACCTCTTATTTTCACATTGAACACATTTATCAATCTACCTACTATTCTTTCTTTCCCTTTTTTCTTATTTAGGATTTGTGGATTTATCACTCCATGATCAGGTCCATCTACTGGAATGTGCCTGGTTAGAGATACTGATGATTGGCTTAGTGTGGCGATCCATGGAGCACCCAGGAAAGCTGTTGTTTGCCCCTAACCTATTACTGGACAGGTCAGTCTGAATTTTATTTTTCCATGTTTTATTTATAAGAAGTGCCGTGCTGTGCAGTATTACTAGGATGAATCTGATATGACTTCATGTTATTCATAAGTTACCAGTACCAGGAGGAGAAAAATTAGCCTCATTAAGCCCAGATCACTAACAGTATTTGATCTATACATTTATATGAAAAGGACTGGACATAGATGGAGGCCAATGCGCAACCAGCCACAAGTTGATTTCATGTCATGACTTTGTTTACTAAGGTATTTACAAAGTGATTGCTAAGACTAGAGAATAATCTTGTTTCCAGATTATTACAAGGAAAAAGAGGGAGGACATGTTTATCTAAAGCCTTCATGCTGTCTTTAGTGCATTTCTATCCTAGTTTTATGAAAAGCAAGGTGGCATCCACGGAGTATCTTCCCTCCATATATCAAATACTTTCAACAACTACATGGTCACCCCATCATTCACATCTCAGACTATGACCTGATCTGATCACTTAGTGAATTAGCAGGTGACACGTCTTTGGAATTACAAGAGCCATATTAAAATGTATCACTTATTACATTTTCAACACAACATGGATGATTGATTTGAGCGTATATAGATATAGTGTTTATTACCTGTTGCAGGGCCACTCACCATTTAGGTCTGTCCTTCTTCGGAAGAATGAAGGTATCATAATGCCTTCCCTAGCAGTTGTTTCCATTCTCTGAGACATGGCAGCAAAACCCCCGTGTTTCCAGTTTCTCAGAAATACCAGTCTTCCAGAAGACCAAATGCAGTGTTGGTAGCTCTCAAAATGGTGACTTAGAGAGCACACATTCTGCTGTTCCTTGGAATTTTTGCTATGTGTTTCAACCCAAAACTTATCATAGAAGTGCTGGCTAATTGTTAAGTCTCATGTTCAGCACTGGAAAATGTTTTTTAAAAGTCTGCTTAAAAGGAAAATGGAATTTAAAAAGTTCTTAGATTCTTCACTACAATTTCATGAAAAAAGAATTTTCCTTAACTTAAGTAGGCAGTGATTTGGTGTGTTAAAACCACCAGGATTCTCAGTTTCTCAAGTTTTATCCTAACACAATAACGCTTCACCACTGAACAACCTTTGCAATGCTTTTTATAAGAAGTTAAAAAGCAGTTACAGAAGGCATTGCAACTTTAACTTACATTAAGGCAATCTGTTGATTTTAGACCCAACTATGGGATTTGTACCCTGGCTACCCCTGCAGGCTCTAATTTGATCCATTTTCTTGCTACTTCAGGATCATGAAAATAATGCTGAAGAAGACAACTTGTCTTATTTTTGGTGTCTTACTGTGCTCTGCTGATATTCTGTTTTATTTTTAAAATTGTTGTTTTTGTTGTTTTGTTGTTACGCTGTGTTAGCTTGGTACATCAGCTGTGGCTGTTTTGGGCACAGATAGCATGGCTAGAATGATCTGGTATCATCTCATCCACAATTCTGCAAAGCATTCTTTGCGTAGCAGTCTGCTTTCAAGACTGCTTGGAAACGGCAGTGAGCTACTGAACCAAAGGCTAGCTACTCACCTAGGACAAAGCAAATCGATTGTATCCCACCAGGTTGCTGCTATCTCAATCCTTTAAATTCCCACATGGCTTGGGAAGCAGCTACATAAATGACCACCTTTCTTCACATGAACCTGTTATCATGTGCACAGAGACTGTCTTTGGTTGTCTCATCATAAGACATGAGATGAGAAGTGACCAGAAAGAGGGTCTTTGTGGTTGTGGCTTGGACTGTTCTCCTCCGAGAACTTTGCCTGGATCTGAACCTGTTTTTAGGGTTGTTTTTTTTTGGGGGGGAGGGGTCCAATGAAAACTTTTTATTTGTTCAGACATTTTAGGTCTGATTTTATGTCTGTTTTACTGCTGATTTTTATAAAACCAGCTCTAATTAAACTATGTAAATTGTCTTGTCTTGTGTTCGCTAAATTACTTTTCATTTGAAAGCTACTCTGTAGAGACCTTGTTGGCTCAAAAACGTATGTAGATAAATACATTCTCTGATCAGAAATAACTGAATCCATTGAAATCTGTTCCAAGATCCCAGTTTAGCTTCTCAACTCATCCACAGGCATATAATACATTTATTCATCATGCCATTTTTTGACAAAAATACATTTTAACTTTTGCACAGTAAAATTTTAAAACAACAAAATATAATACATACATTCTTCAGCAGTACAGATTATCCACTCTGTACTTGTTGAAAGCTTACTTGCCAATTGCATTCACTCACTGTGTTAAATCTTGAACTGGCACTTGCCAGTTTCTCCTCCCACTCCCACTCCTGCCCCAGCCCTTTGACGCTTCTCTTGTCCCCCGGCTCTGAAAGTGGCAGCAGAGTAGGCTAGAGCTACGGGGGAGACAGCTGATGAATGCTATTTCTATTCTGAAAAGCAGAAGGGAGCTGATCTCAGTTCCAGTGTCAAGCAAAACTACATGAGGTTAACATTCCCTGGACTTGGCTCCCTAGACTCCCATCCATTTGGATAAGGCCATGAGTCCAAATTCCTGGTGAGAGTGCCCAGCGTTTGCATTTTCTTTGCCAGGAATTGAGCCTGTGCAAACACTGTACTAGCTTCATCCCTTTTCCAGACCACATTCAAGCAACCTTTGTTTGTGCTGCTGCATTTGAAGTGGAAGAAGGTTGCTGGTTGGGCAACCTTCATTCTGTGAGTGTTCGTGGACTTCCTCTCAGCTTGGTTTGCTCCCTAAGACAGGGCTGAGCATGAGAGGAAGCCCACGAGGGACAGATTTCACAGAACACTGACAGATCGCTAAGCTAGATTCCCACTCCCATTTCCTAGGCTTGACATGTGTGTTGGTGTGTGTGTGTGTGTGTGGGGGGGGGGGTGTCTGTGTCATCCCTGCCTGGTGCTGCACAAGTGGACCAGCTGCCCAGAGAGGTGGTGGGCTTTCCCACACTAGAGACATTCACAAAGAAACTGGGCAGCCATCTGAGTGATCTGAGTAATGTGATGTCCTGCAACAGCAGGGGGTTGGACTCGATGGCCTTCATGGTCCTTTCCAACTCTTCTATTCTATGATTCTAAGTTCAAGTAGATGAGACAGTTCAGCCCCAAAGGCTAACCATATCCTGGATTGTGGGCTGCGCAACCCACTGGGCTTGCCAGTCATCATAAAGGTGTTTCTGAGTGCCCAGCCAACAAAAAACCAAAACAAAAAAGCCTTACCAGGCTAATCTGTGACAGGTGAAAAATTCCTACTCAGCTCTCAAAGGGAACAACTAGCTAGCCCCACACTGGCAATAAGAAGTGAGACCAGGAGCCAGCAAGCGTGAGGCTGAGAGTGATGGGCATGGAACGGCATTTGAGCACCCAGACCCTGCTCCCGCACCACCCATGTGCTGAGCACACAATGTGGTGTGATTGCCTTCTTTGCACCCCCGCCCCCATTGCTGTCTTCTGCCCAAGCCTTCTTGGATAAAGGGAATGAGCTCCAATGCTCCTTGCACCTCAGAATACTAAGATATTTTGATCCAAAGGGTTGAGAGCTGTATTACTAGTCCAGTCAAGTTTATGTATGTCACCTGGTCCCATCAAAACACATCTTCATTTCTTTTAATGAAATATCTGCGTGGCTTCTGGGGAAACCATGTATAAAGTCCTTCATACGGCACACAGTTAACCTATGGACTATGTAATGATGGCTGCAGACTTAGATGGCTTTACAAAGGAATCTCCTATTGATGGAAGATACAGCTATCATGCTTGCCAGTTATGATGACTATATATTATCTCCATATCAATGGCTATATGCCTGTGTATTCCAGTTACTGTGTGACACAAGTGGGAGGATGCTATTGAACATTTGTCCTGCTGGGGGGCTCCCTATCTATTTGGTCAATGTCCAAAGAGAGCACTGGTCTCCGTGAGTCTTTGGTCCTATCAGCCATAGCTCAGTCTTCTTCTGGAACTCATAAACAATACCCCCTTTGAAATGTTTAGGATACAATCTGAAACACATGTTAAGTGAAACTTACTGAACTTAGTGAGGCTTTGGCATAAACGCTCTGAATATTAAATATTGAATGCTCAGGTGAATTAACAGTGCCTATTTCTCTATCCTTTTGAATAGTGCTTGATAATAAAAACAGTAGCCAATAAGAAAGAGGATAGCAAAAGAGAGAAAAAGATTTATGAAAGAGGATAGCAAAAGAGAGAAAAAGATTTATGATTATAAGGAAATCCCTACACTGCTAATTTTCCATGGAAGCACAGATTCTTCCTCTGTGCTTGGGTAATGAAAAACTTATAAAACAGTTTTCTCTGGGAGAAGCAGGATTATATGTTCAGTTTTGGGCAAATCCTAGACACACCTACCAATAAGCAAGTCACACTGACTTTGGTATGGTTTATTTCTGAGTATGCATGCCGAGAATGACAGTCTTGACGCTAGATGTTCTGTGTTGCTGAAATACTTTTTTTTCCTTAATAAAAAAAAAACTTTAATCCCCACCCTACACACACAGTCGCACACCCCCCATCTGTGACTGGCAACATGAAGTTTAGTGCTTCAGGGTTGAATATGTAGGACATTTGCTTGCCAGGTAGACTCTAAGCCAGCTTGCTGGTTCAGGTTCCAAGGTAACTTTGCTAAGGAATATTTATGAAATGCCACAAATGGTAGAGCCAATGAAATTTAAACTGTGGCTTAACTAAGGGTCAATAAAAATATTTAAAACAACAGCAGTGATAACATGAGTAGAGCAAGCTTTTTCCTTGCTGTTTTTCTCGGTGAGGTGATGTGACAGTGAAAGAGCTCATTTTTACTGCCTTTAGAAGCCACATCCCTGGCTCACATTAAAAGGAAATGCTTGTGTGCCCAAGAACCAGACTTAGTCTTGAAGGATGGAATAGCAATTATCAGCCAATTTTAAAATGAAAACAGGCTATTGTGAATATCGCCTCAGCTCCGAAGTTTTAGCTTTCTTTAAATTCACCAGTAAAATAATTATT